GATCAACTTCTGCGCCCACCTTCAACAAGTTGAGATCCCAGAGTGCCAAGAGCCCACTTCCTCACAAAAGGCAGAAGGGGAACATGCATCCCTACATCCACTTCCTAATCTGCCAAAAGGAGCTGCCGAAAGGAGCTGTGTGGAAATCTTGGGCCAGAATGTGTCTGTTCCCAAGCATCGGAAAGCGTGATACTGGAGTGGCTAACCCATGCCCACACCGGACAACGCGCAGCTACGCTTGGACCAAGAAAAAGACCGCCCATGCCGGTCACCCACCGCCGTTTTGGACACACTGCGTGGCGGTCCTGATCCAGTGACTGCCTGGTGTCCAGTGGGATGCGAAACCGAATCTGAGAATATTCCAAAGTAAGAACAAGTGGTAAACCATGGTAAACCTTGTCAGCGTGTTTTCTAAAGAACCTTTTGCTTCATTTCTGATCCACATCCCCGCCTTCTCATGCTGCCAGTCGACATCGCAGCAAATGACTCTCGTCTCGGCAGGTCCAAGTGGACCTTCAGCTGGGCTCACCTTGAATCAGCAAAAACGATGAAGCGGGCGAACTGAAGTCAAGTCGAAAAGTCATGTTTTCACAGCTTTCACCAGGAAATGTCTGAAATGATCTCGATGCTTCAATGCTTTCAACAGCTTTCAACCAGAAAACGTCTGGAAGTCTCAACACCATCAACCCCCCTCCCGTCTTCGGTTATCCACGGCTTCCGGCAAACGGTACTCCGATCTCCCCGGCGCAGCCTGCGACAGGCACTGCCGCGAATCCAGGGTCCAAAGCCGGAGGCCGTCCATCAACCCGGCGCTCACCACCCGCCTCACCAGGCGGCTCTTGGCTGCCCTTCAAACCAACATGTTCAGGCGGTGGGCATAAGAATCCGAAATGGTTTGAAGATCTTGAATCAAACCATATCCAGAGATCGGTGCCTGAGCTCCCAGTTCACCAAAAGGCAACACACCGAACTGGTATGGCCACGCAGAAGGGTGCACCTGCTTGGAATGATCATGCTTGTCAAGTGACAATGAATATCAAAGGATCGAAATCTACCAATATCGTACTAATAATTATATAATGCTTGACACCTCCAGCCTGAGTGACTGCAGTTGGGAGCGATGTCCAACCAACCGAACGTGCCCCTCAACCTACTACGCCTGCCTAGAAGTCTACGGCTGCGAAAGGCTCGCAGCAATAGCTGGAGAAATCAAAGGTTGCAAATGGTCAAAATCTATCAAAAGTAACAAGAAGCTACTAGTAACAAAGGGCATCGCTACAAAGAGCAAATCCTGGCCTTACTACTAGTAACAAGAAGCTACTCATACAAACATTCTCTGTTCAATCCCTTCTCAAGGCACTCTCCGGTCTCCATTCTCCAGTTGCGGATCACCCGGTCTCGGCAGGCACTGAGCGCTTGTGAGGTCTTCCAAGAGACCCTTACCACATCCTTGCAAGAGGAAGTCTGGACGTGAAAGGCCATGTCCCATGTTGTAACATCTGTTGTACTTGTAAAGAACGATGTTCAGCATTCAAGCCGAGCTTCTACACAACTTCGGTGGCCTCGAAAGATCTTCAAGATCTTGCCAGATTCCAGGTTCCAAAGAAGAAGGCGCCCCGACATCGTGCCAAGAAGGACAGCCCCTGCGATTCGCAGCCCATAAAGGTAGGTCGGATGATTCCATGATCCCATCCCACAGCCAACCTTCAATGCCCTGTATATATATATATTATATTGTATATATATATATACACAAAATGTTGAAATTCCTGAACTACACGGCTTCATACCACTGCAATGAGCGCCTTTCGACCAACTGATGGCCACAGCCTCTTTGGAACTGATGCCAGGTCGATCCGTGTTCTCCTCCTCCGAAGCGGCGACTTGACCGGCCATGAGACATATGCTAACATGTCCAAGCCCTGAACTCTAAACCCTAACACCTCCAACCTAAGAGCGATGGCTTCTAACATGCCCAAGCCCGTGCTTCTTGTACCGGCTATGGGTGGGCCGAATCTTGTGTCCGACAAGCAAACAGCTCTCAAAGGTCAGGTGCCCAGTCAGCCGCATCGGTCAGCTTGGCAGACCAAGGAGCGCATGGTTTGCTCGACAGAATCGCCACCATGTACTACATGTACCCCAACAAGTCCCCTGATGCGGAAAGCCAAGCTTCCATCCTTGAGAGTAAGGCCCCTTGGCTCACCAGATCGATGTGACAAATCCGATTTCTGTCCTGCATGATTCGCAACAAGTGAGGTGAGCCATCGATTTCCGTTGAGCCCCACAAATAGAGTGTGCCATCCTCAGAGTTGAACTGCACACAGCAATCGCAACGTTGACTTCTGGAAGCAATGGACCGATCTTGAAAAAAGACACCCATCGCAGTCGTCCACATGACATCCAATCGGGGTCGCATCGAATGCCACTTGGAAGAAACAACAAAGACTTGGAAGAAGCGGAAACCATAGAGTTTAAGTTTAGGACATTGACATCCTGTGAGCTCGAGTCAAAGACACGAGGTCACACCACTTCCGGCTTTCATGAAACTGACATCTCAGAATCCGTCCCATTCGAGCCACCTCCAAGCAACAAAGCACTCGTTGGCGTTCCCAGTCAGCAAACAGGCAGGTGGGGCACGCCGGTTGGCACAAGGAGCACTGCAAGCCTAAGCCACATCCACTTGAGCTACGGCTTTATAGCTTGGTGTTTTAATGAGCAGTTCCCAAGATAAAGACAAAGGACTCATGACACCTGCCGATACTTGAGCAGTGCAAGCTGGCTGTATTTCAAACAAAACAATGATGCAACCTCCCAAATAACAAGTGGGAGCTGTCAAGTGTGGTCGATTCTGCTGTGTCAACGTTGGTGTCTCAAAACGGTCAAAACCATCAAGACCCGGACCCTCAATGAATCAAGACAATGCACTTCTCGATGTGGTCCAAATACCCTCAAACGACTTGAGCATACTCAGTCCGTTGATGTCCATTTGTGTCTGGCACCTGGGCCTGGATCACCCTGCCACATCCATCCAGCCCGTTTTCATCGCGGCACGGTGCACCACTTCTCGCTGGGCGAGGTCCCACAAAGTCAAGACCCTCGGAGTCGCGGAGCGAAGAGTCAGAGAGCGGGGCGGGCGGTGGAGATGGCTTGCTTCAACGGGTTTTGGGGGGAACATCGGTTTTGGAAACCGGTTTTCACGCCCCCAAAACTAAGGGTTTCGTGTAGATTTTCCCTGAAGCCCATTCTGGGATCGCTCCATGGCTCCATCGGTTCAGAATACGATGTGCATGTTTGCGCCTCCTGGAAGCATCAGCGAGCATCAGCGGAAGCATTCAAGTTGCTGAAAGTCCAACTTCGAAGAGGCATCTGTTGAGGCTGGGAATGTACCCAAGGGTTGATGTTGTTGCACGGATGCGCAAAAATAGCCAACACACCACCTACACTAGCCAACCCAGCTTTCAACCTTGATCTTCTCCCCTCCGTCCAAGTCGCCCATTGAGGTCGGCGGTATAGGCGAAACCCAGGCGTCGCCAGACTAGGCAAAGCAGGACATGGCCCGCTTCGCTCCCCTGGAGGCTCACCAGATCCGTGGTCTCCGGGATGACGTGGCCTCGGATCACATCGGATCACGTGTCCAGGTGAACGGACCTGCACAAAAATGAGAAGGATTCAGAAGGTATCCCTACAGGCCAAGTTAAACCTGGTCCATGACCTCATTTATATAGTACTGGTGTTGCATAACCAGACTGAGGTCCTTGACCTGCAAGGTATGCTTTGTATCCGCGTTTGAAGTTTCCATTCTGACTTGGCCATTCTGCGGCGTAAAGAGAGGTGGCCTGCATGGTAAGGCACCTTGAGATGAAGCCAAGTCGTATCGGCCAGCAGTTCCTGCTTGAAGCTTGGCCTGCGGACGGCACTTTTCGCTACAGCATCTCCGTCACCAGTATATCTACTCTGCTCCCCAAACATGACTCACAACGACAAAGGATTGTGTAGCCAATCTATCAACCAATTGCCCCAAGCAACCTTGAAATGAAGGGACTCAACTAACACAAACCCAGTATTGGCTAGGCTCGAATGTCCCTTGCCTTCACATCCGCAATGGTGTTGTTCGTGGACATCTCCAGGATGCCCAAGCAACTTCCGCTCACAGCGCGCACCTGCCACAAATGAAGCAACACAGGAAATTCGACACAAAGCGTGAATGAAAAAAGAAGAAAAACGCAACCCATGATGATTCCATGTTCATCCATGTTCCATGTTCGAGAATGGAAGCCGTTTCTCTCCGCCCCACCGCCCGATAAACCGGGAAAAGACTGGGGTTCGCCTCGACGGTGACCTGTACCTTTCTCGCTTTCGCATCGCGCTCCGCCATGAGAGGCAAAACGAGCAAAGGAACCTCCGAGCAGAACTTCTGGGGAACATGTTACTGCTTGGAGTACTGCTTGCGATGGCCAGAAATGTCTTGCAAGTCGCCTTACTCTGCACCATACAAGTATTATGTATTGCAAATCCAATTGCACCGGCCCTGTTAAGAGATGCCTGGATGTAAGCCGTTGCACGGGGCTTAAAGAAGCGTTTTCTTTGGCTATCAGTTCTCAGTTAGGCTTGCTGCTGGAATACTGCTCTCCAGTCTCCAGGAGCCAATTTCATGTCCAGGTCATGCAAATGCACTGCCTCTCTGAATCAGAAGTCCTCCTGCAAAAGGAATAACATAACATACTCTTCTGGGGCGGTCTTCCTTCCTGCATTCATGGTTTCAGAATTTGCTGGATCTTCGCACCCGTGCTTTTTGCCCTGTGCCTTTAAAGCATCTGGCTAAACCCAACAAGTGCAAAGGTGACGCGATCGAGATTGATCGAGATCCACCCTCGCATGTTTCAGGTCTCTTTGGACCGCCTTCCGGTTTCGAGCTTGCGGCAACGACGTTTCTCTCTGCCTGGTGACATAAAGACGCAGAAGTGGAATATAATAATGTTTCACCATCACAAGAAGTCAAACCACACACCGGCCCACTTCAACAACACGGATCACCAGTTGACGTTAGAAACATCAGTTACCGTTGCCGGAATAGCTGTAGAGTTGCATTTGCCGAGACTGGGCTGCTGCTTGCATCCCCTGCATCATTTGGGATGGGGAGGATTGCATCCCCGCATGTTGCATGCCGGGCATTGCATGCTGCATGCCCTGCATCATGTTCAGAGAATTCTTCAGGAAGGGGCTCGCTTCCTGCGCCTCATACCTGTGCTTGTGCCACATCTGATCAGTGCAAGAAAATGAACAAAAACTCTCCAGCGCACGACATGTCATAGTGGTCCTCATAATTGTCCATCTTATACCGCTCCCACTTCCTGCCGCTCGCTGTTGGAAGAGTCTCATTCTGCAGAGGATTGGCACAACAAACAACCATCTACCTACTCATCCTGCATGATGTGAAGCTTTAGTAGTGTACAACAAATGGAAAGTGCACCTCAAGTCAACGTCGGCGCAAAGCGCCACCAGAGGCATCAAGATCATGCTCACGATCTTGGAAGACTATAAGATCTCCAATCAAAAATATGCGTCCCTCCAGTGCAATAAGCAGCTCCCAGTAGAATATTGTACGACTCTATCTACAAGGCCATACATCTGTCATGTGGCTTGCCTTGTGAATAAGCAACCCTTGCGTTTATAACTCAAAAATTCCTGCAATCGAACATGATCAGCAGAAAGAAGCCTTCTTCTGCCACGAAAAGGCTGCCGCTGTTTCACATCGGAAGAAGCTAGTTCGATGGTCATTGAAACGATCAAAAGTCATTGATCCGATCTAGAGCCCTTTCATGTACTTTCTTTCCTCACAGAATTTATTGACACATCTGGCATCTGGAGAAGAAATCTCGGCCCTCCGGCGATGGTGTACAGGATCAGCAGCTTCATGCCATGGAGCCTGGAAGAAACTGCAAGCTGCGGTGCAGGCGACTGTACTTGGAATGGTATGGATGTGCAACGGCTAGGCTCCCTGCATCTTGTCGCACATCAGCTCATGGGCGAAGGTTTGGTAGTAGGGGTACATGTTTCTGCACCAAGCAATGGGGTTTGGTTCAGAAGGCTGTGATCTACGACCTACGATGCCACTAGAAACGAGCCGCCCCGCTTCGCAGACATAAGCTCACGTGCAAATTGCACGGACCTTAGGAATCAGCGTGAAGATGTTGAGATCAGAAAGAAATTAATAAAAACTCAAAGAACACGAGAGACGGAAAGAAAGTCGTTGTAAAACTGGCTCATTTGGAATCCTTTGAAACTTTGCCCCAGTCAAAACAGACCTCCCAGTCTTTGAGCGCCAGGTAGCTTGGAGCAGGCAGTCAAAGCGTCAGAGGCATTCAATTTCTTGATGCCAGAGCACACCATCTGCAGGCTATGTGGGCTGATTGGGTAAACCAAACATTTCAGTTGGGAGTATTTGGGGTCCGTAAACGGTGTTGGTCGTGCAGTCTAAAGATGTGTTCACAAACCCAAACTTGGCCAAACCATGCCAAACTGATCACCGAGTATATGGGTACTCTGGTTGCGTCGCCCAACAAGCATTCTTACCAATTCATGTCTGTTGGAGTATATACTTAGACCGTTGAGTCCCAGGACCACAACCGCTCCAGACCCGCTGCTCACCTCCGCGGGCGTCGTTGCCCAAGTGGCATTCTCATAGACCTGGGTGTCCCACGGATGGAACATCAGTGCATCTCCCGACATCTTCCGACATCGTCCATGGATGTCTCTATACTAGTTACAAAGGGCATCGCTACGACCGGAGCAAGGACGCTACTAGTAGCTCCTGGCCTTAGGAACAAGAAGCTACTAGGAACAACGAGGACGAATATGTCCCTTGATGTCTATCACTGGAATTCTCAAAAGGCCCACAGCACCGCACCCCGTAGAGCGCCACAGCGTCCCGCTCCACGTCTTCGATCATGGAGATCATCGGATTCTCCTGTTAAGGGAGGACTCACGGCCATCAAAGGGGGAACGCAGCTACCGGACCCAACACGACCGAACACGACGTGTCAGGCGGAAAGATGCCACTGCTTGGAAGACGCTCTGTCTTCAAAAGGATCGGCAATATGCTGTGATGCACTCTCTTTCTTCGTGGCCATGTGGAAAATTGCAACTCTCCTCACATGGAATGACGTGCAATTGCTGCATAGCGAAGTCCTGGCTGCCCAGGACGTAGTACTTTGCTGCGCCTTCCAGGATTGGGTCTATGTCGAACTTGAACTGTGACCTTGTCGGGTCGAACTGCCAATCCCTTCGAAGCAACATCTCTTCCCGCATCGAATCTGAGACTCTGTGGAAGAGCTGGATTTCTCTAAGCCCCAGGGCACATCGGTGAAGTTCACCTCAGAGTTCTTGCCGGGCGGGTCCCAGAATTTGGTCGCATCACTCACGACTGGGAAACCAATGGGAAAGAATTGGAAAGCAGCACAGGCGGCAGTCCTAGGGCCTTTGGAGAAGTTCTGGGATTCGTGGACGCTTCTTCTTACAATCCAGAAACCACGAGCTCTTGAATGTAACCCCGTGAAGAAGTTTCTCGGAAAACATGATCAGCCTGTGATCCCCCCGACTCGCGATGTGCAAGGTGACCGACAGTGACCGAGCAACTGAAGGCTCTTTTGCAAAATGAGAGGTTCTCTCTGTCTGGTTTAAGAAAAGGATATTGATATAGAAGGGTGGATCGAACAGTCATCCGCCAACGCTGCAGTTCCTGGTTTCGACCACCAACGCTTCCTCACCCTTTTTGCAGCATCCACAAGCAACCAATGCTGAACACCCAAAACGAATGCATCTGGGGATCAAGTTCAACATGCTGCACATTCTCATTCGGTCGAGCCCACGAAATGGCACAGCTGAAGGTCCAGACCACTGTCACCAAGCTGATGACCTTGAGAACACCGCAGTGACAAGCACTTCTTCACACCCTTCCGCTTGTCTTCCCTTTCTATTTTTAATCCTTCCTTATCTTTCTGTTTGCATCTTTCTTAAGACCACTATATTGAGACCTTGACCCATGGTCCTTGACCCGTTGTGCGTCCCTTTAGGCCTTCGCCTGCGTTTCGCGAACTGGAGATCTTAGGCTCTGTGCATTGGTGTCTAGGTGCATGCAAAGGCCGCCAGTGACGATGCCAGCGAAGAGGTATGCCGCGGACTTGGGAGTTGAAAGATGATAAAATGACGAAAAAGTCTCACCAGCGAGAATACATAAAGAACACAAAGTTCATACCTTCAGAGCCTGCATCTTCCCCCCCAAAAAAAAAAAGCCAAACACAGAATACCTAGGCTCCGTGCAACAAAGCTAGCCACCAGCATGGCACAGCAGGCACCGCCAGCACCGAACCTGGTGGGTTTTCAGGTAGCTTCTGACCCTGCTGGATGGTTGGAACTAAAGGGTATATAGAATGAAAGAAATGTGGGAAAGCCACATAAGGTTGGGGGCGGGCTGTTCGCTACCTCAAGGCATCTTCATGATTCTGTTCACAAGGCCATAGACTCCAAGCCTGATGACCAGATCGTCCGCACGCTCTGCAACCTCGACGTCCAGGCACAAAGCTGATTCAAGGCAAATCACTTCCAAACATCGATGGCAAATCACAAGGTCTGTAGGCCTCTGAAGTCTCGGGCTGGATGGAATGCTTGCTTTTGCGCATTTAATACTTTTTGGATGAATTCAGATTATATGGATGTTGTCTCCGGAGGACTCCATGACATAAAAGTCTCTGGCTGAAGGGATAAATACATGATTTCAGGTCCTGAATCTTCCAAGGTGCAAAGAGCACATTGGCATTGTCTTCAGATTGTAGTCTCCGCATTCTTGCAATGGTCTTTGTGTGTCTGCGTGTTTGCTGCTTTGACAATGCTGGCATTTGCGGCTGGTCATGATAGTGAACACTTCTGCTCCAATCCAAAATAGTAATGATGTTTCTTTATACTGGTCATGACAGGGTGATGTCTGATTCGCTAGCAATGTGGTGAAGTAAGGTTTGTGCCATGATCGCAGACTCTTGCAAAGCTCCGAAAAGCCTGGGACCAATTGCAAAGCTCCGAAAAGCCCGCAATCGGCCACTCCAGGAAAACAGAAGACCTCTAAGTGCCATGAATGCCATGAGTGCCTGGCCTCGGCAGTTCTCATAGATAGGCTGCAAATGAGTTGTTAGATCTGTCTGCTGCATTCGAGAAGTGTCTCAATGAAAAGAAATTACATCGGGTTGAATTGGCTCTTGCCTGTGAATACTTCCTGTGTGCTGCGTTGCTTCCTCTTGTGGAGCAGCAATTCAAGGGGCTACCGAAAGACAGTCTGTAGCATCCGAGCTATCGGCAAAGGTTGTGATGTAGTAGGGCCCAAAGCATGAGAAAGAAAATGCAAACAAAAAGCATTAAAAAGAACACATTTAATGAATGAATGCCCGTGGCGGAACTTCTAGAAGAATTGCTCTTTTGACCACCCCTCGTCTTCACACCTCGGCATCCCGGCATGAGGGTTGCTGCTTTGCCAGGAGATCACTGTAGCAATGCCAATGGTCAGTATCCATAGGCCCATGAGTATGAGAGGAACCTCAGTGGTTAATAGAGGTGAGTGCGATGAAAAACGTTCGACGAGACTTGGAAGGAAGAATGTTTAACCCAGCCGCCAAGAAAATCAGAGAGAGAGAGAGAGCAATGATCATAGCAGACATTTGATAAACTTGTTTGCACCTGACGTGGATAGTCGGACTCAATCCTTTGGACTCAATCGTGTTCGCTTTCTGTGGCCACAACCATTGGCACCACAACGATCAAAGCCTGAACACCAGAAATACAACACAAAGGTGCAAGTCGTGGGCACACAAACTGCTTGCGGGTTGCACAAAACTCTTGTGTCTTGCGTCTCAAAACTGCATATTTTGCCAATCACTGTGTTAGGTGTAGTTCGTTCTAACCATTCAGACCACATTCCACCCCACAAGTCACCGCCCGTTGGCTGTGGCACCTTCAAAAGATCAAAGCTTTGGAGAAGCCGAGTCATCATCGATTTGGCTGTGTTCGCCACCTTCAAGAAGGCCATGACCTGACGAGGTCGGAAGCAGATCTTCGGTGGATTCCCGGATCCCTGTTTTGCAGGACCAAGGTCTCCAAACAACAGAGTGCTCGCAGTTTTTACCTACATTCAGAATTCACATTCCACTATATAGTATTATATATAAATGCAAAGAACCTTGCTCGAACAAGTGAGAGATGATGCAAGGCGCACCTTCTGCTTCATTTCCAGCAGCTTCTCTTGAGCCTTGTACCGGCAACAGGATGAAAAACCTAGTTTCTAGGATCAAGGTGATCCCTTACTTGTGTCCTGGACAAACATCACGTGGTCACCACAGCTTCGAAAACGTGCAGGAATCCAGTCTCATTCCCTGAATCTTGCCCTGACATGCTGATACAGCGAACGCCAAGGTGTTCAAATTCTGAAAGCCCTGGGTTCGCCGTCCAGCCCGTAAATGCTAAACCCATGCGTTGGCGCTCGAAGCCTTGTCTGACGCCATGGCCATGGCCTCTTTGGCACCAGGCACCCTGAGAGGCTGAGATGCAGCCGGCCAATGGCCCACTTGGTAACGGACATGTTCGCAAGACTGAAGCATCAGCTGAAAACAGCTTTGCAAGAGAAAGAGGTAGTGAGAGACAGAGAGGTTTTAAAAGATGTATAACAAGTTACAGTAAAAGGAAGAACCTGGAAAGAAGGATGTGTTGGGGTTGGCATTTTGATTCCTCCATGCTGGAAAAGAGGCATGGAGCTGCAGGATTGAGGCAAATCATTCACGATGGCCTCACAAGTTGCCAACTCTTCCCATCTCGAGGCAACTCTTTCAGCTTTGTTAAAAAGGCTCGACCACACAGACACTCTCACCAGCCTCAAATGTTTCTTCCATGTCTTCAAGTTCTATCCTTGGCCATCCACAACTGGCCCAAGGCTTGGCGAATTTTCTGCCTGTTGAGTTTTCATCTACAACATTCATTGGGCAGAAAAATATTATCCAGAAAATAACGCTCAACTTTTGGCACTACGAGGCATTTGTCTGGTTCGCGTCTTTTCTCTGTCGCTTGGCGTCCGGACGCCAAGCCCACCGCAGAATCAATCTGTTCATCTACCCGGCCTCTGCAGATCACGGAAAAAAATTATACCAGCGTAGACCCCAAACAGAGCAATGTTCCAAAATGAGATCTCCGAACAATATGGCCAGCAGTATTTCCTAGAGGAAGAAAACTATAGTCCACCATGTAGACGCACATACAAGATTCAAAGGGAAAACATTAAAATTCTGTTTTTCATTGACTTTACAATGGGACGCCGTACAAGGGCTAAAACATGAAATTTATGGATCCAGGTTGTGACATATGTTGCCCCCCTTGTAAACACGAATGCGCAGACCCAATCAAAATGAAGATTTCCTCAGAGCACGGACACTGCGCTTGGCTTTTTCCTTCCTACGCAGTTGCCTTCTTTGGCTTAGCCATGTACTGCATTGACCTGTGCAGCCAATGCAGCTTTCAAACTCGAAACACCAGAAATACAACAGAGCAACGACCTTGCGCGCATCAAAAAATTAATCGGCCCAGCATCCAGCCAAGCCTGGGGATACAAAGCATCCAGACAGGCCATGGGAAACAAGTGGAAGACAAGTGAGCTTACTGGGGGCCAAGTCGAGACATGTGGGAGACAAGTGTGAAATCATGCGGCCAGAGCACTCAGAATGGCAGACAAGTGTGAAATCATGCGGCCAGAGCACTAGAGCATCCAGAGCTTACTGGGAAACAAGTGGGAGACAAGTCTGAAATCAGGAGACAAGTGGGAGACAAATGGAAGACAAGTATGAAATCCTGCGGCCAGAGCACTGAGAGCATCCGGAGCTTACTGGGAGACAAGTGGGAGACAAATGGGAGACAAGCGTGAAATCATGCGGCCAGAGCACTGAGAGCATCCAGAGCTTACTGGGAGACAACTGGACGAGTATAAAATCATGCGGCCAGCGCACTCAGAGCATCCAGAGCTTACTGGGAGACAAGTGGGAGACAAATGGGACACAAGTATAAAATCATGCGGCCAGAGCACTCAGAGCATCCAGAGCTTACTGGGA